TTTCTTGTTTCGATTACAATAAGCAGCTTCTAGCGAGATTCGGAGTAAACTGAGTGAGGGAAAACATTGAGGAAGTTTAAGAGGAAGAAACCACTATGGAGATTGAAATAGAAGAGGGAGAGGTCACTTCAGAATGATTAAGAGAAATATTATGAACGAGAGTGAAACAAATTTGGTTCTGCTTTCACGTTTGCCATTCTGAAGAGAGAAAGTTATTGGTTTCACGATGAGTTTCTCAAAGGAAGAAGTCGTGTTCCTTTTTTACAACTTAGGGTTGAAGTGTATAAGATCCAACCGGGTCATGAACTGCCGTGACCCATCCTGACCCAGCCGCCCAAATGGGCTTCCCCTGCTCTTATATTTTTTTTCTCTTTTCCTTGGCCTAAGTTTGTCACATACTTCTTTATTAGAATATATTATAATTTTAGATTTCTTTTTTTAAATATCCTTGAATTTTGTTTTAGTTTTTTTATGTTGAAGCATCCTTTTAATTATGTTTTTATATTGTGACTATGATTAAGAGTAATTATTAGGATTAATTAATTCTTTTGTTTTTGTGAGGGCAATCCTCATAAGTAGTTACATTTGTTTTAATGATGTCAAAACTTAGATAGGTAGAAAAATGTACCTTGGACGGTATCATTATATCACATATGCATATCTTATCCCTCTAGAGTCAAACATTACATATAGAAAGTGTCCAATGTATGCTTCATATAGGTTTGGTCAAGAGTGTCTAGCTTACTATGTGATAGAGTACCTCAAAAGTTGCATGATACATGAAAATATGCATTTTTGCATATTTTAGGTCTTTGAGTCGACTCAAACCTGTTCCAGTCGACTCATACAAAAAGTATTTTGAATGGTCTACTCTCAGGAGGATTATGTGTGCAAACTGAATAGATCTTTATATGGACTGAAATAATCTCCTTGACAGTGGAATAGGAGATTCGATAAGTTCATGACACACATAAGTTTCATTAGAAGTCAGTTCGACCACTGTGTTTACTTCAGATTTCGACCTGGTAATTCATTTGTCATTCTGTTGCTTTATGTGGAAAGCAACAATGTCGAAGGTGTAATGAGGGTGAAGGCTGAACTCAATAAGGAGTTCAACATGAAGGATCTGGGAGCTGCGTCCAGGATTCTTGGGATTGACATCCGAAGAGATAGAAAGCAGTCGAAATCATGCTTATCTCAAGAGGCATACATACGGAAGATTCTCGAAAATTATGGTATGTCAAATTCAAAACATGTTGTGACTCCGACAAACCCTCAATTCAAGCTGAGTATAGATCAGTGTCCCAGCACTGATGTCGAAAGAACTTATATGAATAGCATTTCATATGCTAATATAGTGGGTTCTTTGATGTATGTCATGGTCTGTACTAGACCCGACATATCATATGCATAAGTCTTGTAAACAGGTACATGGCGAATCTTGGAAAAGGCTCACTGGCAAGCATTGAAGTGGATTCTAAGGTATATAAATGGGTGTCTGAATAGAGTCCTAATTTATGGTGGAGCCTTAGATGAAGATAGTAAAGCAGCAATTGAAGGATATGTCGACTCTGATTATGCAGGTCGTATGTATTATAGAAAATCTATTTCTGGATATGTGTTCACTATGTTTGGGACAACAATCAGTTGGAAAGCTACACTTCAGAAGGTTGTTGTCTTATCAACTACTGAAGCGGAATATATCACCCTAACGGAAGTTGTGAATGAAGCATTATGGCTTAAAGGTTTTGCAAAGGAGCTGAAACTCCAAGTTCAAGTTATCACTGTTAAATGTGACAGCCAAAGTGCAATACACCTGTCGAAGAATTCAACCTATCATGAACGAAGCAAGCACATTGATGCGAGGTTGCATTTTGTCAGAGGGGTAATCGAGCATGGAGAAGTCCAAGTACTGAAGGTTTCGACATATCATAATGCTGCTGATATGATCACCAAGACGTTGCCCAGTTGCAAATTTTTTCACTGTATGCAGTTGATAAAGCTGCATGAAGAAAGTTAGTTTCTTGATGTTATAGAGTCAGATCTAAGGTGGAGATTTGTGAGATACTGGATCGAACTCTAGTATGATGTCGGTGTAATGCATGTTGTAGTCGAAGTTTGTTCTAACATGCATTAGTCAATATTGCTAGGTTTGTTAGCATGTTGAATTGGGTCTTGCTTGTAAGGCCAATTATTTAAGTTAGCTTGTACGCTAAGTTAGCTTGTAATGGGTAATTGTTAAAAATCTCATTAAGTAAGTGTGCTATTTTTCTTATAGATAGCATGTTAGTTCTCATCTTGTATAAGAAAAAATAGGAAGATAAAATCCTAATTCAAGAGAGAGAGGTTATTTGTTATTCTTGTATGCTTGTATTGTTTGATAGATAAAGGAAAGAATAGCAGTTCATAATCAATCCTTGTTGTTTCTTTTTGTTCTTCTTGCTTGTTTTCTTTGTTAACCCTAACTCTTGTGTGTTTTTTGAATATAAAAAAACCGTTCATATTTTGTTTCAAGGCATTCTATTCACAACAGTATGAAGTAATTTTTTTATATTCATTAATATATAATTAATTACAAAAAGCTTATTTAAAGTTATTCGTAGAAGTTAGAGTTCTCAAATTCAAAATCTGATCATGACTCATTATAATATTTATTTGAAAATTTTAACACAAAATAATATCACGTTTTAAAATTGTAACATTAACTTTAATAGACATTCTTCGTGTTAAACAATTGATCTGTATCGCATCTCCTGATTTCAAGGGACACATTTATACTCTCCAATTCACGAGTTTACAATTATTCAATGCTTTAACATCAAATGTCAACCTCCTTCTACATCTAAAATCATACAGATTAATTGGTATTTTTTAATCATAATTAGATTAAATACAACACAAATAGAACTTAAAAACTTAAAGAGAAAATTCTAGAATATGTAGTGGCATGCATATTTAAAGATAATTTAAATGGAAAATTTCTTTCTACTACAATTAAAGTTTGCACCTCATGGATTGCATGAATAATATTTGTTATTAAATATGCTAACGGAAAGAATTAGAAATTTCAACTTGTACAAAATCAATATTGATCATTTGTACATTTTTTTAATTTACTTTACATACTACATGCTCCTTTAAATTTAAAAATCTCACATTTTTAAAATGATCAAAATGAAAAATACTTGTCCAAATAAATTAGTCAATACAAATATTTTTTTAACGAAGGCACGTGATGGAATTCACTTTTTATTTATACTTTTAAAGTTTTTTTTTAGATAGATTAAGCATATCCAACTATCATTTTTACTAGTTTTATAATGAGTCCCTTCATCATTTTTGTTTTTCCTTTTTATTCAATAAATGGTAGAAAATACAAAATTAACAAAATCACAAAATAGGTCTTCGATTCCAACTCATCTTATTCAACTAGAACAGAATATCACAGAGAAGATCATAAATATCCAAACATGTGTACTGGAAGTTCGAGTTATTAGATCATGATGACAATTGTACTACTTGAACCTTTTAAAATCCACCATTAATGTGTGATGGACAAATTCACTTCTCCACATTAAAATCCACCATTAATGTTACCACTTAGTGCAGCAGACTACATAATTAGTCAATCTCAAACAAATTAAACTTTCAACCATAGATATGCATTCATCAATGAATAAGTCATTATCATCATCATTTATCTTAGAGAAATAACATCAAATATAACTCTTATACCTAAGTTTATGCTCCATTCTAGAATTCTCAAGCTCAAGAATTTCAGGTTTCCTTAGGTTTCCCCTTACTCATGGATAACCAACAATGTAGCAACAAACAATAGGTAGAGCACAAAGGGTCTATGGCATACTACTTTGATAAAATTTAACTTAGATAAAAGTACTACTAATGATATCCTATGCCCATTCAAGAATCCAAAAGTGTTTGAGATACAATAAAGTGGGAATGAAGTAGTTATATATACCAAAGCAAAAGCATAAAGATAAAGGAAAAATCACAATTGTGCCAATAGTACTTGGATCGAAATTGGTAGAAATATAGAAATGACATCAAAATTATCCACATTCATCCACATCCAAAAGAAATGATGAACATAAGAAGAAGAAGAAAACAAGTTGAATAATGAATTGATGACTAGATTGAACAAGTCAACCAATCTATTAAATGGAATAATCGTAGAAGCCCATCATGTTTGACTAACCATTATCCAATATACCAACCATCATAAAAATACAAGGAACAACTCTTCCATTCTTATCCATGATTGATGTCTAATTATAATCTCAACATGTTGTTAGCTAGATGGGTCTATTCTTTCTCAATATGTGTGAAGAAAACACAAACTGAAGACCAAAACCACATATCAATAATGCAAACTACTGTTTCCAAATTTAACTAGAGTTAATTAGATTCCTACAAAACTGAAAAATTAAGTTAACTAAGCTTAATTAACCAGCATAATCACTTTAAGTCTATTGATGTGATTCAATTAAGGGAAAGGGGAGTGAACCAACCCCACCCCCAACTTTCCATCAATAGAGTCTATCTCTCATCACACCCTACTTGGAACTCATAACAAAACAATCCTCTCGCAAAACTATCCAACTTGAGCATAACTGTCCAAAACAAGTTGAATATATTTACATACATTACACAACTAGGCAAATAATCAAACAAAACCATATCCAATCATATAGACCAAGGCTGCAAATTTCATCTTAACAAGCTACCTAGAGAATCATAATTAACTAACTAATCTTGATCTAGAGAACAAATTTATCTAAATATAGTTAATAATATCTGATTCTACTAGGTTTCTTAAAAGCAACAAATAAATGAACAAAACAAACAATCCTAACCTTGCTATATATGTATATATAAATGTTCTTACAACAAGCACAGTCAGAGAAGTAGAGCATACTGCACACAGGTACAAGTCAGTAAGATTAAACACCATTGACAATAAGCTTCCTACCTCTTCTTTCTCAGAAAGGAGGAGGAGGACGAGGAGGCGGAGGACCCCAAAACATATCATGAGGAATTTGATTACCGTTATGCATAAGATTTGGTGGCAAGTTATACATAGGCATTGAAACCTGTTGTTGTTGTTGATGATGATGGTGGTGTTGTTGATGTTGTTCGACGAATTCCAAACCTTGAGAAGAAGCAACTCCTGCTGCTGCAACAGTTGCTGAATCCACACCAGATTGTTGTTCAACTTGCATTTCCTCTTGATCACCACCTTGTTCATCTTCCAATGGCAACCTCTCATAAGTAGCATTAGCAAAAGTAGCTGCAATAACCATCACAGGTCCAGAAGCAACCAAAGAACCTGCCACAGCGCCACCAACAACCTGCCCCTGACCACCGGCTAAATAAACCGTAAGCCCGGTCGCTCCAGGCGGAGACGGCGAAGGCAGAAAAGCACCCGAAAGCGACAGAATCTCAAACCTTCCATGAAGAGTAATAACACCACCGGGAGCAGCCGGTTGCCTAAGCGTCACATTAGTCACAATGCCGCTCCCACTCAACACCGACACACCACGGTGACGGCGGTTGGCAAAGCTAGCTATGCTCTCCGCAACATCACTACCGCTGCTAATTTCTAACACGTGGCTTCGCAGCGCGTTCGGAGATTCTTTCGTTATAACAATAGGCGGTTTGGGTTTGTTCTTGGAACCCGGTGGTCTACCACGCGGCCTCCTACCACTACTACTACCGGGCTCCGAAGGATTCTGATCTTCAGGGTTGTGGTTATCGTCGTCTTCATTATTGTTGCTGTTACTGCTATTAGTTGGAGTCGAGTTTGCGTTGTTGTTACTTTCCATTAACTCTTGTTCTCTCTTCAGCTGTTGAAGTGAAGTCGGTGATGTTGGCATCGTTGCCACATTCCCAGTCCACCATCGATTAGCCATAATCTTCTTAGTTTTTGGAAGCTGATATATATGAACTTTGTTTGAATCTACAGACTCAGATCTATTAACCGAAACCAAAAACCTTATCTTATTTTCTGATAAGAAAATAAAAAGATTCTAAAAATACATGTTTATTTTGCATGTAAACCCTAACCACACAATCACACAAAAGAAAACAAGTCACATCAAGCTAATTGAGAGATGTATATAAAATTGGTGAATCAAAAGGAGAAAATATAAAAAGAGAGAACAAAAGGGAAGGTGAAGAAAGAAAGTGTGGTTGAAGTACAAGAAGAAAAGAAGAGAAACAAAGCCTTCATTCCAGATAGAAGAAGAAAAAAGAAGTTCCTATGAAAATATGTGTTTGTACCTCAATCTATGCCACAAAAAGAGGTCAGATAAATTGGTACGGTTACAAGGGTACTGTGACTCTCCAGTGAGGGACCCTCGGTACTATTGTTTCTAAATCTGTCTGGGTATTAGAGAATTTGAGAAGTGTGTTTCAGTTTGAAAAAATAAAAATAAAACACCGTCCTTTGAAGTTTCCTCTATAGAATGGAATCTATCTATAGGTAGTGGTATTATGTGTGAAGTGAAGGGTGGTTTTAGTTGTCTCCCTGGTAAGCGGTTATAGTGTTGTGTTCAAAGTTTTCAACTTCCTAAGTAAGCAGATACTCATCCACTTGTTGTTGTTGTGTCACCAACTCGTGACTCTTCTTCCAAAACAAGATTAGCATTACAAACAGAGCGCAACTTGCGCAAGACACTTCTATCTAGTGCATAGCAGCACTCCATATTGTGTAAGAAAAATTATGTCTTTGAAACTTGTTATGGTTTTAATGAAGTGGTTAATGATATTTAATTTAGAACCAATACTTCTTAAAATTTGTGTTTAAATTCCAACTACTTTATTTGCTGTCGGAATTTCGATTACCATTGTCTTTTACTATTTTCAAAAATTAATAAAGCGGTTTTTTTTTTAATTTTAAAATTTTTCAAAAGTTATATAATGAGTTTAATGGATATGGTGTAAAATAATTGTACATGTTTGTCAGGTAGAAAACTACTTCATTATCATAATCATATTATCATCCTAATTATATCATTATATGTATTTTAAAAATACATATGTGATTCGACAAAATATAAATCTTTTATTAATTAATAATATTGATAGTATTTATACTGTAGATGCACATTTCATTTTCTCTTATACAATATTTTATCAAGAAATTTATTTAATTTAAGTAAGTTTATTTAATTATAATGATTTGGATTTTTAAAAATCCAACTTTTTCTTACAATTTATAAAAGATTTTGTTTAAAAACATTTTAATTTAAATGAATGGTTTAATAAATTAGATTTTATTACATTTTTTAGTGAAATAATGCGTTAAGAATGTGTTATGCTCGTGTTTCTCATCACTTGAGACAGGGAGTGTTACGGGTTGGCTGTAAAATGTGTTACGGTCGTGATTCGCAGTAAAATGTGTTACGGTCGTGATTCATCCAATATCGTTTATAATCTGCATTTTCCACATCTTTGATAAAATTTTCAGCATGTAAAACCTCACTCATAACTTTGATCATCAATAAGTATATTAAACACACTCATAACATAAACACATCAAATAACACCAAACACGTCTTTCAAACTATCAAAACCCTAATAATTTAACATGGATAACAATTGATAAGTTAGAGTTTCAAAAAATTTATATGATTTTATGTATCAATTTATAATATATTATTTTAATGCATAATATAATCTTTGAGATCTTATGATAGATATAAGAAAATTAATGATTCTAAAAAAATGATATGGTAAATTGTTTTATGAATTAGTTAGATTTATAATCATGAAAAACCCAAACTTATCCCTGTATTTTATAATCATGGAAAATTCAAACATGAACTCAAACTCATTTGAAATTGATTTTCCCCGTCAAACTTAGGGTCGATTCAGGTGGATACCCATGAGTACGAATTATGTTACCATGCCTAACGAAGATCCTCTGACATTTTCTGTATCATACAATTGTCTCAAGCGGAAGGTTTTAGGTTTCTAAAAAACCTAAAATTATACTATCAAAACTTAACATATGCTTCAAATCCAAATACACATTATTATTATCCTAAATATTTCTTACTTTCGGTCGTCACACACTTAGACATAATGTTTGTCGTATCATTGTCAAAGTAAAACAAGCCGATATCACAATCTCCAACAAAATTCGCTTCTAAATCTCAACTCACATCCATATTTGTGAATCCAAAAATCCTTATAAATCAATAATTAAATAAAGATTATGTCAAAATCAAAATAAAAAGTTTTAATTTAATTTGAGAAAAAAAGCTTAATTAAGTGTAAATTTTGTTCCAATCTTTATTAATTAAAATATTAAATAAATAAAAAAATTATGATAAAAATAATGACCAAATTTAAGATAATAACATATTGTATGATTCAAAAAGAAGTTTTTAACTCCTTTGGAAAGGATTTATGAGACTCGAAACCAAAAAAAAATCTCTAATCTAAAATATGTATTTTTACTACTAAATAAATATTTATCAAGTTTAGTCTTAAAACTTTTAAATCCAAAAATATATTATATATTTGATTTATAGAATATTAAAAATTAGATAGAACTGTACAAATATATTCAAAATAATTAAGATCAGCTTTTCTCTTTTAAATAGTTGGGTGGTCAGCCGTCAATTAGAGCATGTCATGCTTGACAATCTCAAAATTGATAAAAATACTGAAACATTCTCATAACTTTTATAGTTTTTTTTAGAAAATCATACATTTTGTAGGTTAAGATTAACACAGATGGTTCGGTAAGAGGAACCTTTTGCAACCGTGAGGGCAATCGCAGGGGATCATCAAGGGAGTTTTCGAGGAGCTTTCTTTGCTAACCTAGGCGAGACTAACGTTTTGAGAACAAAACTTCTTACTATTATGATCACCTTAAAGAAGGCAAATTGTAAAGGGTGGTCTAATGTCTTGATTGAAAGTAATTCTCAAATGTTCATTCATTATGTAATCCCTTATTCTTTGAGATCTCTGAAATAGGTGGTTAAATTATATTCATTTTCTTTTAAATTAGTTTGCACACACATTTTCAGAGATGGAAACATGTGTGCGGATAAATTAGCTTCTCAGGATCATGACATCATGAATTTTTAATGGTGGGATGTGTTACCAATTTTCATTTGGGAGGAGTTTTTCAAAGACATGTTGGATTTGCCAAATTACATATTTACTTGACCTCGACCTTGATGTTTGGTGGCTCACAATTTGCAAGTAAGTTATAGTTTCCGTAATAATTTTTTTCACTTTTGTTTTTTCTGGATCAGATCTAACCTCCTCATATATAAATATTTTTTCCGTTAATATAGTAGCATTTTTTTGGAAACGACATAATCTTTAATAGTATTTTTACTAGTGAGTTTCCGATATTATATATATATATATATATATATATATATATATATATATATATATATATATATATATATATATATATATATATATATATATATATATATATATATATATATATATATATATATATATATATATATATATATAATGTATCATATGAGAATTTCATTTTTATGTAATAAAATAAAAATGAATCTGAATCATTAAATTTTAAAATAAATGGTGTAGATTATGTGTCAGAATTTTTTTCTCTCCTCCATCATTTATTTTAATAATGGAAGAGAGAGAAAAATAAAAATCACACATAATCTCCACTATTTATTTTAAAATCTAATAATTCAAATTTATTCTCACATTCACACCTAAAAATAAATGGTGTAGATTATGTGTCAGATTTTTTTTCTCTCCTCCATCATTTATTTTAATAATGGAAGAGAGAGAAAAATAAAAATCACACATAATCTCCACTATCTATTTTAAAATCTAATAATTCAAATTTATTCTCATATTCACACATAAAAATGACATTCTTTTTTATATATATCTTAAAATTCGATGACTCTATATAAATTAAGTTTAGATAATAATTTAAAAATATAAAATGATTCAAATCATGAACCACTGATAAAAAATATAAAAGTCTTTCTACGGAATGTTCTAGGGACACTTTTTAAATATTTAAAATAAACAAAATATTTTATACAAAACATTAATTATTTTAATTTTCAATGTATTAAATATACATATTTTTTTTAAAAAAATATTATTTTAAAATTTTAAAAAGTGTTTCTGTAGCATTCGTTAGTATTTTTCATAAAGTAAAACATTTTAAATTTTAATGCTTAAATAATAGATTGATTCATATAAATTGATGTGTTTTTGTTTTTCGTTCTTTTTTTTAATCAAAATTTTAAATGTTAAATATTATTTTGTTTTAGTCTTTAAAATTAAAATTGGTAACAAAATCGACAAATTTTCTGTGAATTTTCATTCAAATTTTAAAGTTATAGATGAAAACCGGAAAAAAATTAACATTCAAAAATTATTTTAAAAAAATAAAATACAAGAAAAACAAAAAGCCACATCAATTTACAAAAATCAATTAATTATTTAAGTCAAGCTTTAATTACTCATTTGCCATAGTAGCTACTTGGTGTCTTTGGTTGGTTAATTTGTAGCTCGAGCGCAGTGTGGGGCTCCATACGGAAAGCTGCACATCCCATTCGTGTAATGACACCACCCATGTGTACTTTCCCTTTGAGATTTTGTGTAAGAGATTCTTTTATTTGTGTAACATTTTTCTTTATGTTGGTAAAATTTAATATTATATTATTGCATAAGTATTAATATTAAATTCATGAATACTTTCTGGTTCGTAAAACTTTATTTTAAGTGTATAAAAAGATTCATAAATAAAATTTTCAATAAAACTATATTGAAATTAATCATATTAAAATCAAATATATATATATATATATATATATATATATATATATATATATATATATATATATATATATATATATATATATATATATATATATATATATAT